AAAACAAAAGCAAACAACAAACAAATAGTTAGTTGACTGCAGCAGAAAGCTTCACTTTGCTTTTCTTCTAATCAAAAAATGTACTTAGCGCTTAGATGTTTATCAATTGAATTATACTAATTTTATAAACAGATGGTTCAGTAACTGTTTCAGATAACAGCAAAAACAGCTATTTGCTGTTGCTGCAGTCGTTGTTGCTGTTGCAAAACATAAGACTATACTACTAATTTTATAAAATAATATAAGCTACCAATACAATATGAAAAAAAATCTTATCTGATTAGTTTAGAAACCGTTTTTTTTAACAACCAAACTACCTTAGTGACAATAAAAACGAAAAGAAAAATCACTTTAATAAATTGTAGAAAAATGTAACGGTTCTGTCCAAACTATGTAACAGACTGTTGAAGTGTTCAAATCCATCCCATTTGATGTTCAATTTGCTTTCCCTCTTTTCCATTAAAATATGAAGAAAGAAAGGGTTTTTTTTTCAGACTAAAAAGAATTTTTTTTGAAAAACTATTCTTCTGCACAGAAGAATAACTGAAATACACTGTTCTGTTAAGTGTTGTAAAACTGCAACTTTTCTTCATATTTAATGTTGCCAGTTTCACTGTCTAATAAACAGTAAGTGTTTTCCCTGTCTGTAAAAACACTTTTATTTCTTATATCGTTCCTTTGCTTCTCCAGGTAAAAAAAATGTTCATTTTTTTTTTCTTCTCCAGTAACCTGATATTTGGTCGACATAATAAAATCAGGATCAACAAATTGTGCCCAAATTGTCGCACAATATTTTAGCTTTGTTGCAGAACAAAACAGACCTGTTCTAAGCAAACATTAAGATCAAAATTTCCGCTAGCAACTATCGTCTATAGCAGCAATGATCAAGACTTAAACTGTTGTCAAACTGTAATTCTATTGCAATCAACCAGTTTCAGGTAACCCTTCAGCACTATGTCAGCAAATTTTTCAACAATAAAAATCATCACTAACTGATACCTAAAAATTTCAGGCAAATAGATATATTAATCGCTGTTTGTCGGAACAAAAATAGACAAATAAAAAATTCGTTTTCTTTTTGGAGTAAATAGTTAAGGACAGTTCTGTATTGAACATCAATTTATCGGTTAACTAAGCACCAACAAAACTAAACCCCAAATCATTTTAATCATCAACGACTAACGGTGACAGTTTGTAAACTATCGATGTAAGAATAGTGTAAACAGTTGTATCACCGTACTTATTCACTTCTTATTCACTGTACTCTTCGACATATTACTGATAGATAATTTTGTTTTCATTCCAACAACTGTCAGTTCTGTATTTCATTAGAAACGAAATTCTTATTCGGTTTCTTCAATTATCAAATTTACTGAATTATTCAAGCAAATTAAACTGTATAGTAATGAAAATTTTTGCTTTCAAACCAAAACATTAAATTAATTTTTTTTTACTTATTCTACCAACAAACCGTTTAGTCATTGTTGTGGAATATTAAGAACTAAAATTACTATTAAAATGAGATGTTGATAAAGAACCGCGAAAATGTTGTGCTCTAAAAACTACTGTTAAAAAAAGTTTTAGCATTAGCGAAAAAAATTGCAACCGATTTGATGGTGCGGTTTTTCTCAAATAACATACAAAAAATTTTAAAAAATCAACTAAAGACTAAACGAAAGCAAAAAAATGACTAATCACTTTGTTGTTCAATAGCTAATTGATCACTGTAGCAGTACTCTTACAAACTGAAAAATATAAGCTTCTGTAGCCTTTAATTTCAATCAATTTTTTCGATTTTTTGACTGTAGTCAAGCCGTAGGAACGACACGTAGTTGCCTTTTGCCAACAGACTTAATCTGTACTCCTAATTCGTTTATTTTAGTAAATGCTCCAGTTTAATATATTCTACCAACAGTTTGTCACGGCAGACATAAGGCTTATTTACTGATGAAAGCGATGACGATAATGTACTGGCAACGTGCAAAAACTTTTTCAATTCCAGAAGCCACCGACTTTGTTGTAAAAATAAATGTCCTATTCACTAAGCACTAGCATAATGACGATAGTTGGCTAAACTTCATTGGTAAAAGACCAATAGATAAATTAGAAAAATGGAAATAAAATTAATCACCATATCAACCTCACTGATTACCAAATATTTCATTGATCCAACAATGTGTTTGTAAATGCTTATCTACCCTGTTGTTGCTTTCTTTTTGTGCTGTTGTCATCTAAAATATGGTATCTGAAAATGAACAACAGCAACTATCCATACAAATCCATTTCTGTAAAATTAATCGATACTGCACTAAATCACGCTTCATAAAGACTCCAGTAAAATATAGCTTTCTAAAACCCCTCTATCCTTAGTCCTTCAAGCAGTAAACGTTAACTTTGAGCAACTCATGACAAAAAGTGTCTTCTGAAGTTCCGTTTACTTCTAAACAGCGAGAGGCGATGTTGGAGGCGAATTACTTGAATACCTAAGAATTGGTCCTCACTTTTAAGCGCTCAAAAACAAAATGTCTGCCTTAATGAGTGATAACCAATCTCTTTTTCCACATGCAGTATCCTTCTCCCCCTCCTTCTTCTATACTCCTTCAAAATGTGGTTTTTAGTCCCTGATTTTTCAAAAAATCCACCTTTGATCAGTGTAAAAATTTTTTGCTTTTGGAAAGGAAACTATTCTTAGCCGTGTTTTCTAAAATTGCGTTAAAGTACTTAAACCAAGAATAATCCCCGCAATGAATAACACTTTCTAATTGCTTTCTTAAAAACTATTATTCCCAACAGATATAAATGAACAAATAAGAAACCTTTTGAGGGTTTAATGCGGAGTTAAAATAAGCCCAACAAATGACTTTCATCCTTCCTTTTGTCTCATGTGTTATCCGCTTTTCGGCTACTGCTCTTTTATCAACTTTCCCTCTGAAGTACAAACAATGTGCTAAAACCTGCTGTTGAAGAGCTACCATTCACTCCTCTAAACTGTCATTTTGAAAAAATGAAAACAAGACTTCTTAACCGTCCCAAAAATCAGAACACTTATTTCAAGGTTTGAGAGACGTGATTTCACTACTCACTGCATAGAGATTTCAATTTATCTTATTTCATAAAAGCGTTCAAAAAACTGCCCACTCTCAAGCATGAACCAAGAAAACTTCTAGACTTCAAGACACAGTCAAACACTGAAATATTAACAAGCATCTGCGAGTAGTTTAAGACCTAAAAAACTACAAAGAACCACTTGTTTGAAACAAAAGCTCAGAAGAGCGATTAATAGAGCACAAATAATTTTGGCTACAAAATTCCAGATACCTCTCGCCACGCACTTCTCATATCATCCAGTCAAGCATCAGGAAAAACTCTTCAAGTTCAAATCGACCACAAATGTCACCCCATAACTCCGCCTTTAAAAAACACTGGTGCTCTTCACTCTGCCACTCCACCTACCGACTGTTTCACTTCCGGCCCTCCCCCAATCCTCAACTCCACATTGTCCACAACTAAAGTCTTGCGGAACCTTCATCACTTTATCATGCCTCAGCTGCTATCTTTAATCCTCCGTTTGCGAGCCCCAAGTCCATTCCCCTAAATACCTATAACAATCAGCAAACATCCCGCACAGCCGCAAACCGAACTCAACGGCACTATTTAGTAAGACCACTCTGATTCAACTTATGTGTCGCTCAAAGTTCACAATAACAGATTTTTAATTAAACGAATGACATTATATACAAAGGCTTTAGAACAACTGAAATCAAAAAACAAGAGGAGACAACAATAAAAAAATGTGAACGGCTTTGCCTACCACTTCTAATCCTGAAAAGTCAGCATAAAATAAAACGGTACTTACCGGTAAACCACATTTACAACGAAGTGATGAAAAAACCTGATGAATCTAAACACGACAATATTTTCAACATTCTTAAAAGCACGAATAACGAAGGAATTTAAAGAAAAACTTCAATAAATACACAAAATGAATAACAGACCCCAACAGTTCTACGCATTTAATTATCTTGTGCCTAAAAAACCGTAAGAAAGAGACGCCTAAACTTTACCCGTACTCGGCAGTCCTTTTCAATAAAGCTACTTACTGAACAAAAGCTTGTTGGACAATTTAAAAAGCAACATCCGTGTGAAAGACCCAACAGCTAAATGGAACTTTCAACTCCTAAGCTGCTTCACAAACCTGATTTATAAGACAAAAGAGCGTTTCTTCGACAACAGACATGATTACATCATCCATATCAGGTTCAACGTAACAATCTAATTCATCAGAACAACCAGTGAGATCAACTAACTTTTTCTCTTCCACTACGCAATCATCATAATCATTCATAACTGTTACAAAAACTTCCACAGTATCTGATGGCTGCCCATGCTCAGTAAGCGTCGCCCCAGAAGTTGCAGGAATTTCATCGAATATGCCTTCCTCAGTAACAACAGTAGAATCATTACTTAAGTCCAAAGATGAAGTGGATGACGTTTCACTAACTGAAGGACTTGAGCCTAGACGTAATAATTTTTCCTTAATAGATTCATCGGCAGATTGCGGGGAGTTGCTTTTTCGCTTTGGTGGACGACCTACAGAGCGCTTAACACGCTTATTGTTTGCTGCAACAAATTTGTTATCACTGTTTAAGAAAAGCTTTTGAAAATCAACATCATATATATATATATATATATATATATATATATATATATCCATATATATATATATTATATATATATATATATATATATATAGTTTATATATATATATATATATATATATATATATATATATATTATATATATATATATATATATATATATATATATATATATAGCAATAAATAAAAAATAAACAATTAAAAATAAATAAATTTTTATGGTCATATAATTACCAAACCTTGACGAGCACGTTGAATTGTTTTCTGCATACCAGCTGCCCACCAACCTGGAGCACCCTTCGGCCCTTCCGGCACTTCATACTTCCTACGCGGTGAACGAATATGGCAAAGACAATCAGTTAAACGATTCATTAATTCCGAAATACGCGTACTACGACGAGGATTGAGAACTGGATCACAATTTCTGAAAGAAGAACAATTAAAGAAAGCTAGCTCCAAAAAACTTACTATACATCCAGAATAGACCGTTTTCGAAAGTACTATTACCTACAGTATGAGACCACTGGAACTGACAATAATTTAGCTAAATTTTCCAGTACCAGATCACACTTGGCATTGATTTTCAAACAAGATGCTCGATCCTTTGGAGTCCATTGAAGATTGACAATAGCTATCTGCAAATAATGCCGATTTTTGAAGAATAAACGCGCTTCAATTTTAAAAAATTAACTTAAAAAACTGTAAGGCATCAACTATACAAAAAGAAATCTGAATAAACAGTTAACGTAAAATTGCCACAGTTAAAACCACCTTGGTATTGCTCCTTGGTTTCGGCCATAGAAACTGATATTCCTTTAGGACTGCCATGCTAGTGCCCAAGCAAAGAATCAAATCGCACCGATCAACTAGACCTATGACTCCGTTCCAGTTTAACGGCCATGGTAATCTTCCTCTCTCTCCGAAATGTACGATGGTATCTTGTAATTCAGAATTACATACTGTGCAGGTTCTTCCCGTACTGTGCCTTCTTTAAATTTATAGTGCAAATTCCACTCAAAAAACATTGTTGTAGGATAAGCGAACAAAATCTCACCAAAACTATACTTCCTACATAATTTGTGCTGCTGAAACACAAAAGCATCACAAGTACAAAAATAATATAATGCTCAAAGAAAGACGACAAAAGTATTTACCAAATAAATGATACTGCTACTTTCTTAATACGATCTTCTATCTAACTAAGGAACCAATTCCCTACCTCGAAAAAATTAAAGTCTTTGCCAAAAAGGTAAACAATAAATAAGTAGATAAATGACTGAACACACAAAATAAATAAAAGCTATGTCTCCTCATGAGAAGAATTAAAATGCAACTTCAGCTGATTAAAAACAAAAAAATTTAAAAGATACCTAAATCGACTGTTCTGAGTGACATCAAACGAGCGAATATACTGGCGTGGAGGATCGCAATTGATGCAAACTTCAATATGCATATTACCATGAATTTCAGAAAGCATTTTTTGTGGTACACCAGACCGTAGATGAAGACCGTCACAATTTTGCGAAAGGATATGACGTACCATGCCGCGGCGACACATCTCCTTTAGCACCATATGACTTGTGGTTGGAGAACATTCAACAGGATCAGCACACCTAACATTCGGATAAATAATGCCGGATAAAAAAACTATTATGAAGACAGAAAAGTGCTTACTTCTTGACTTCTATTCCTTTTTCCGCTAATGTCCACACACCGTTTGGACCGCGATAGTCTGGTATTTTCGCCGACTGCAAATTCAAATGTAAGTACAATTTCCAAATGAAATATAGAAAAATTTAAATTCATATCATGAGAAACATTATAATAACAAATAAATTCCTTACAGTACTTATGCCTGCTCCAGTATACACTAACGTACACTTTGACAATTTCATTAGCTCCGCCAACTTCTCACACTTTTGTAGCACAACTGTTTCAGATTCTTCCGACTAAAAATTCAAGAACTAAAAAACTGACTAAAGTTAAACAACACAATCATAATTATAAAAAATAAAAGATGCAGAAATAAATTCCGACAGAGAATTCCCAATTAACATTATACTCCGCACTGGAATAACTATCCTCACTTTGGCGAGAAAAAACGAAGTTTCTCTAGTCTCGAGTGAAAGTATACTATTAACAGGTCTTTTCTATAAACCATCTAAAAAAATGTAGAAATATGTTCCTAATACACCGCCATACGTTTTCATAATCTGACACTGACGAAAAACTACTTCATTCTTGGAAAAAAAATATATTTTTTGAAAATATAACTAACCTCGCGTAAGCGATCCGCTTTCTTCATTATTCAAAATGTAATCAAATTTGGTAACGTCTGAAAAAATCTTCATAAAATAATTTCAAAGAAAAAATAAAAAAATGCACAGCACGCCAACAGAAGGGAATAAAAAACATTGGATGGAAACGAGAAAAATGCACGCTCCAAATTATCATACTTTACCGACCATATAAATGTGGACTTGATCAACATATTGTGAATCAAAAAAATTTAATCAACTAAAATAACCAAAGAGTAAACGCAACGAGCAGATACCAAAGAATCAAAAGAATGTTGCGGAAAAACAAAGAATAGATGTAAAATAAAAAAATAGAAGTGAAAAAGATCATTTTCAAAATTGATACAGTAGGGGTCCTTGCCAATTTTGATCGAAGATAGCTATCTAGGTGAATACCATCAAAAGGAAAATTTTGTGTAAACTGAAACAATTAATACGGTTTTAATTATCATGTTCTCCCGAAAAAATTTTTCCTCTCTTTCCTGCTCTTCTCTTCAAAATTTGTTTACACTTATCAGAGCTACATTTCAATCGTTTGCTTTCAGTTTCTTCTCTACACTGAAACCAGTTTGAAAAAATAATAACAAACATATTGAAATAAAAAAAAAAAAAAAAAAAAAAAAAAAAAA